CACTCACACACACACACTCACTCACACACACACACACTCACACACACTCACTCACTCACACACACACTCACACACACACTCACTCACACACACTCACTCACACACACACTCACTCACACACTCACACACTCACTCACACACACACACTCACTCACACACACACACTCACACACACACACTCACTCACACACACACTCACTCACACACTCACACACACACACTCACACACACTCACTCACACACTCACACACACACTCACACACACTCACTCACACACACACACACACACTCACACACACACACACTAAACTGTGGTACATATCCATGAATGGAAGGTATCACCCTCCTGTCAGTTTGCAGTGAGAAGTGGGAACTATGGAGTAGAGAAGTGTGCACAATGTGAGTTGAGGTCTATGTAGCTTCAGGTTTCATTCCTCGAGCAAATATTTTTAAGGATCCATAATTTACACACTCATTACCAAATAGTGATGAAATTCATACGATTTGCCAGGTGTAGACCAGGTGCAATATTAGTTGCAGGTGCTTAGTGCTGAGTGAAACAAGCATGATACGCTGTGCTAGTGGAACGTCCAGTCGTAGAGGAGAGAGCAGAAGACAGGCCAGTAAAGTATGACTACTGTGGAGAGAGGCAAAGACAGGGTCTGAGCCGGGTGTGGTGGCCCACACCTTTAATTCCCAGGTGGGGACAGGAGATCAGAAGGTTAAGTCCAGCCAGGGCTATATGAGGCTTGTCTCAAAGAAAACTACCATCACTCCTCTACCAAGAAAACAAATGAGAGCCAACAAAAGGGATCAGAACACCATAAGAGAGACCAGGGGAGCAGCTAGTGGGGTTTTCCTTCTGTGGGGTGGTCAGGAGGAGCTGAGATCGAGGAAGTGGAGCCCCGAAGGATGGCAGGGCCTAGGGCCATGCGGTCACTAGGTAGAGAGCAGAGACAGCTCGCACCACAAAGGACTGCAGAAGGAAGGGGCTTTGTGTCTTCCCACGAAGAGGAGGCCATGTGACTGGAACACACAAAGGTCGTACGCAGGTGTCCAGTGATCTCTGTTTGCCCAAGACTGAGAAATTTCCTGGGGCATACAACTTTACATTAAGTAAGGGGCAAATTTCATTTTGAGAGACGGTCTCATTGTGTAGCTTGCTATATAGAGTATATTGGCTTTGAACTCAGAGCCCCATCTGCCTCTGCCTCCAAAGTGCTGGGATTAAAGGTGTGCATCACTGTGCCTAGCTAGTTCTTGGTAGTTGGGGAGCAAAGCCCTCCCCAATTAAAACTGTTTATTTCATTTAACTGATGTATAATTATAGGAAAATTAAAATTATTCCCCGAAAATGTCATACAATGTTTTTGATCATATTCACCTTCTTTCCAACCCTCTTCATATCCACCCTCCCTTCCCAATCCACAAAACTTTGTTTTCTAAAATGCCCATCAAATCCAGTTTGTGTTGCCTATATATGAATATGTGGCCTTCCACTGGAGTGTGGCAAATTACCAGGAGCTACACTATTAAGGAAAACTGACTCCACTTCCCCAGCAGTTATCAGTTGGCAATAGCTCATCATCTAGTGGTGGAACTTTGTGCCCACTTTCCCTCTCCATATTAGAATTTTGGGTGGCTTGACCCTTGCACACGGTTTGTGTATGCTGTCACATCATTTTGAGTTCATATGTGAAGCTGCTTTATTGTATCCAGAAGAGACTATTTCCCTGTACTCATCCACCACATCTGGTTCCCACACTCTTCCCAGCCCCTCTTCCACAACGATCCCTGAGCCTTGGGAGGCGGGATATAGATGTCTCACTAAGGGCTGATCATTCTGAAGTCTCCTATTCTTTGCACCTTGATCAGTTGTAGGTCTGTGTGTTGATCACCATCTTCTGCAAATAGAAGCTTCTCTGATAAGGGGTGAGAGATGTGTTAATCTATGGCTGCAATGATAAATCATTAGGAACTGTCTAAAACACGGGATAGTCTAATAAAGAGCTGAATGGCCAATAGCAAGGCAGGAGTAAGGATAGGTGGGACTGGCAGGCAGAGATTATAAATAGAAGGAGAAATCTGGAAAGAGGAGCAAGAGAACAAGGGGCTAGTTACCCAGCTATACAGCAAGTCACAGAGAATGAAGTAAAGAAAGGTATACAGAAATAGAGAAAGATGCAAAAGGTAGTTGGGATAATTTAGGAAAAGCTGACAAGAAACAAGCCAAGCTAAGGCTGGATGCTCATAACTAAGAATAAGCCTCTGTGTGATTTATTTGGGAACTAGGTGGTGGGCCCCTCATAAAGCCAAGAGTAAAACATTTCACAACAGGAAGTTGCAAGTTGTCCTCTGACTTCTACATATGTGTGTGTGTGTGTGTCCACACACATACACATGCACACAAAATAATGTAAAACAAAAAATCCTAGAAGTCAAGATTCACATTTGTGTGACAGTATATGGTGTGTGTCTTTCTGAGACAGCATTACTTAATAGACTATCTTCCAGTCCAGTATGTTCTCCCGCTAACTGCATATTTTTTTCTTTATGGGTGATTAAAATTCCATTGTGTATATGCACCACATTCTCATTCTCCCGCTGATGGGCATCTATGGGGATTCCATTTCACTGCTCTTATGAATAGAGCCACAGTGCACATGGACGCACAGGTATTCTGTTGTAGGACTGAGTGCTTTCAGGTCTGTGCCCAAGAGCAGTGTAGTTGAGTCAGATAGTAATTTAGGTTTTGAGAGTCCTCCACACTGATCTCCATAATGGCTGCACAAGTTACACTCATACCAGCCATGAGTTAATGTTTCTCCTTGTCCATGCCCTATTCAGAATGTGATGTTGTTTGTTTTCTTGAGGATAGCCATTTGCATTGGAGATGGACTCTCACAGCAGGCTCAATCACAGCAGTTTTAAATTACATCTCTTTCATGGCTAAGGGTGTTGCCCTCCTTAAACAGATCTATTTGTGGCTCTTCTTTTGAGAACTCTGTTCCGTCTCCTTAGCCTGTTTTTGTATTGTTTGTTTTCCTCTCTCCCTCCCTCCCCACCTTTCTTCTTTCCTTTTTGTTTAGACAGGTCTCGCTGTTTAGCTCTAGTCGGTCTAGATCTCATCATGTAGACCAGACTGGCCTGGAGTTCGCAGACATCTGTCTTTTGTCTTTCAGGGGCTGGGATAAAAAATATGCACCACTATGCCAGGTTTGCTTTTTTTCCTCCTTCCTTCCTTCCTTCCTTCCTTCCTTCCTTCCTTCCTTTCTCCTTTTCTTTTTTGATACAAGGTCTTCCCCAGCCCTGCTGTGGAGCCAGGGATGACCTTGATGACCTTGATAACACTTCGAATGACCTCCCAAGTGTTAGAGTTACAAGCATATGCTACCATATCAGGTTGGTGTGGTGCTGGGGTTCAAAGCCAGGGCGTTGTACATCCTAGACAGCACTCTACCAATGGAGCCATATTGCTAGTCCCTCTTGCACATTTTAAAATTACATTTATTTATTTAGTGTGCCACAGGGCACATTTGGAAGTCAGAGGACATGTTTTGGGAATCAGTTCTCTCCTTCCACCAAATGTGGGGGGGGGGGATCAACAGGTCGTTAGGCTTGGTGGCCAGTACCTTAGACCCACCCACTGAGCCTCCTCACCAGCCCTGTGATATAGTATGTGCTGGTGGCATAATACTAAGGAGAAAGATGGCTTAGTTGTCTGATTTAATATTTGTTGAAAATATTAAATGGTGAAAGTTAAGGAAATGAAAATAATATAGTTACAACAACTTAAGCAGAAGCACACTGATGAGATAATGTGGCTAACTATCTGACTTTACTTTCCAAATAAATTTTCCACATATATATTTCTACATATATATGTGGAATAAATATATATATGGCTTCTTTGGAAAATAAATATTTATTTTATTATTTATTTATTCTATTATAGATTATGTATTAATTTATATATATTCATTCACATGTGGGCACATACTTGATTGTGGAAGCATATATGTTTATAATAAACAAATGAATCAGAGGACAGAGGTGTGGCATGCTCTGAAGCTGGAATTACAGGTGGTTGTGAGTCACCCAATGTAACTGCTGGGAACTAACCTCTAAAAGCAAGTGTCCTTAACCACTGAGCAATCCCTCCAGCTCTGCAAACAATTCACCACCTCTCTCCCTCTCTCTTTTCCCTCCCCATTCAGAAAAGGACTGCCATGGTTACTGGCATCTTTTCTAAATTAAATTTTAATTTAATGTGATTTTGTGTGTGTGTGTGTGAGAGAGAGAGAAACAGAGAGACAGAGAGACAGAGAGACAGAGACAGAGAGACAGAGATGCCATGGTAAAATGTAGAGGTCTTCTCTACGAATTGTCTTCTCTTAACTTGGGTCCTTGGGTATTGAACTCATGTCCTGACAGGTCCTTTACCTGCTCAGTCATTTCATTTCACCAGTCCTTCTCATTTTCTTAAAACAAAGTTACTACATTTCATTTATCTCTTGTGTGTCCAAGTGTGGAGGTCGGTGGACGATTTACAGGACTTGGTTCTCTCTTTCTACTGTGTGGGTCCAGGGGTTCAAGTTGTCAGTCTTGGGTGCCAGGAGTCAGATATCAGGGCAAGAATCTAAAAGATTGGAGAAGCAGAGGAGCAGCCACCAGTGTCTTCCTATTCATCCATCCATCCTTCCTCCAAAAGGACCAAGATTCTCTCAGCCCCACCTTACTATTTCCTGTCTCCTATCTGTCTACAGTCCTCCAAATCTCTATAGTTAATTTTGGTCAGCTAGTGGCTAGCTCCAGCCCCTGACTCCAAGCAAGATTTATTTGTCAGAACACAATTAAAATATCACACAACAACTTATACAAATTTAAATGATTATCAAACACACCTACCATTTTATAGTTTCATGTGTCGATGTGTGTGCGTGTGTCGATGTGTGTGCGTGTGTCGATGTGTGTGCGTGTGTCAATGTGTGTGTGTGTGTCGATGTGTGTGTGTCCAGAACACCCAGAATCTACTCTTCTACTCTCTCAACAAACATTTACAAATTTCAACATTAATAACAATCTTCATGTTGTAGCTTATAGATATTTACTGTTTACCTACAACTTTTTAAAAGCATAAACAAAATCCAAATCTTTAAGAATTTCTTTTTTTCTGAAGTTCTTGAGAATGTGCTGTGGTCTCAGAAAGATGCAGGACTAGTATTGAGATCATTGGATGTATCTCATCAAAAACAAAATTTGATGTTCTTTGATTAAACAAGTCAATTGAAGTGGGTAGGCAGCAACTCACAGTCCCAGAGAGTATAATTCCTATTCTATTCACAGATAAGATAATGATGGAGTCTAGAATCCCCATCTACTGACTACCCTTGGTAGGCTCTAGCATGTTTTAGCAGTTAAGTGCAGTCTTGGTTTCACCAAAGTGGTTGGAGGCCTCTTTTTTTTTTTTTTTTTTGACAACTCTCAACTCCACCCTTCTCCTTCCCATCATCCTTAGTTTGGCCACACACATCCTTCACATAGGTTTTCTGGTCCCTCGAACTTCTCTTTGACGTTCCCAGCCAGTCCTAAGATGATGCAATACAAGGAAGTGTACCTCCTGGAACTGTTGCCAGGTGACCGTGACATCATAGAATAGCCCAACAGTGTGGTCTCAAGATGTTTCAAACATAAATGATTTAGATGAGAAAGGATTGGAGGAAATGGTCTGCACAACCGAAATCCAAGCAGCATTTATTCTCTGCTCCTTCATGACTTTCTTCGGGGGACTTATCATCTTACTCGCTTTCAGATTAATCTTGAAATTCTCAAAAAAATGGCAAACCTTCAAGGGTACAGGAATAATCTTGGTCAGTTTCCTTGCTGGGACATCTGTGTGTAAAGATTGAAGCTAAGTTTGGCATATGTCTCTGTTTAGCAGCTCAGGCTTTCCTTGATTTTTTTCAGACTAATGAGCCCGATGTTACATAAAGGGCAGGAAACAGGGCCCAAGACCACCAGCAGAAAGCTTGGTGAGCCCGGCAGATGATGAATATACTAGAGTCTCTGTTCTGAAATAACCTGTGGAAGCATTAACAGTTGAGGCCAAATGTGGTACTCTATGGTTATCCCCTCACTCGGACAGAAACATTGCTGTGAGTTTGAGGTCAGCCTAGGCTACATGAGACCCTGTTTCAGAGAGAAACTTTTGTTAACTACAAAGGCCCAAGACATCAACTCAACCTTATTTTTCAATATCCTTCATGCATGATTCATATGTGTCTGTATGTGTACACTTAATGTGCTTTTTGTGTTTATGTGTGCCAGCCACAAACACCTAGATACTTTTTGTGGCTTAACTTGCTTACAAATGTTGATATTGGGATTAATTGCTGACAAATGGTAATAGGAACAAGTGATGCTTTATGAAGATGGCATATTAATAGTTTGAAATACCTCTCTTCAATTCCACACGACTGTTGTGTTTTTTTTGTTTGTTTTGAGACACCGTCTCACAATGTAGCCCTGGGTGGCCTAGAACTTGCTATGTAAACCAGGCTGGCTTTTAACTCATCTGCCTTTGCCTCCTTTATGCTGGGATTAAAGGCACATGCCTCCGCAATCAGCTCAATAGAAGAATTTTATCAAACCCTCTGTTATTTGTTTTCATTTTTAATTCTTAAACTTTGTTTCTTCCTAGAATAGGTTATAGTAGCTTTTTGTAATACAATGCATTTTATGTGTGCATCATAACTAATATACAAATTTTGCTTAAATATATCTCTTGATGTTAAGGTGGCATAAAATAACATAGTTTGAAATAAGTGTAAAGTGTTAAAGTTATTAGTAATATGGATTTTATATTGTTGTATTTGATAATATCTAGTATTGAAGTTTAAAGATTTTATTGATAAGCCATTTTACTCTGCAATTGTTTCTATTTTATAGACTTTAAACAGGGCTGGGGGGCTGGCTCAGGAGTTAAGAGCACTGGGTACTCTTCCAAAGAACCTGGGTTCAATTTCCAGCACCCACAATCACAGCTGTCTGTATTTCCAGTTCCAAGGAATCTGATGCCTCCATCTGGTTTTCCTGGGCACCGGGACATAGATGGTGCACAGATATTACATTCAGACAAACCACCCATATACATAAATAAAAAAAAATGAAACTTTGAAGACAAGACTTTAAAAAATGCTATAAAATTATCAGGGAAAGAATTCTGATACTCTGTGGATTAATGGGTATGATGAACATATGCTCTCGCTCTCTCTCTCTCTCTCTCTCTCTCTCTCTCTGTGTGTGTGTGTGTGTGTTTGTGTGTGTTTGTAGCATTTAGACATCTCTTTAGTTGACTGCTCCAGGAAATGTTTAGTCTTCACCATGTTCATTTCCTGGGTTGGGTAAGGTAAAATGATTTCTGACTAATACCATGAAGAACCACCTCAACCTAAAGAGAACTCTTTCGTCTTGAACTGCAGCTCATTGGCCATTCCTTTTTCTTGCTCACAGGAACTGTTCTCACTAGGGAGGATCGAGCATAATCCTTTAAGAAGACTTTACTTTCAAAGAGTATTTCGTGATCGTATAGAATTGTTGCTTTCCGCACAGACCGTCATGGGGCAAGTGTTGGTGAGTTCACTTCCTCTCTTCTAGTGCCAATGAACTGTAGTGAACATGATCATAGTCCCCTCTGTATTTTGATCACACAGGTAAGTGTAATCTTCTATGGTGATCTTAATTACGTTCAGGTAATGTGTGTAGGGCTCTCTAGCCATCATTCTGCTTTGTTTTTCTCTAAGTGAGCAAATTAACTTAGATTTTATACTTATTATTGGCCTCTCTGCTAGAAGGAAAGCCTTATTAGTACAGAGCCGTGTACATTTTGTGCTTTACATACAGATGTGTCTAGAAGATAAACACTAGAAAAACATCTATTTTGAGAGCGTTGTATGCTTTGATTTTCCTGTATAGGAGAGCGGCTTAATTTAGGTGGCTAATTTTTCTAATTTTCTAGAAAGAAAGTTATGGTCCAAGGGTGACAGGTTTTACCACTGCCATTTTGTAAAATATATGAGCAATGCTTCATTGCCTAGCACACAATCAACCTCTACTATCATTTAATGGATTTGGAAAGAATACATGTTGTCTGAATCCGATGCAATACTAATTGTGTTATATGTATTTCCAGTGTCCCTAATTTTTTGCTGAATGATTGAAAGGGGCAAGTTAAAACCTTTACTAATTTTTTAGTTTTATTGAATGTCTTACATTTCCAACAGAGTTTGAAAGGTGTATTCTTACTTGTAAAGAGTCCCTTATCGAACTGTCTTGTTAGTGTTCTGAGCCAATATGGACTATCTGTTTTCTTCTGGCATATCTTATAATACCATATCAGCATACTATGGATTCTATTTTTGTTTCTTTTCGACCCTTCTGTCCCATTTCCTCTGAACTGTTTCTCTTGCAAATGCTATAGTGTTGGATTTTTGTTCTTGTCTTTATTAGAGAACATACTTAGTTTTCAATTTACTAGAGAAATTTTTTAGTGGATGCTAATAGGCCCAGTAGATACCCAGGAGGACTACAGGCCAATCTTGGTCAATCCATGGCCTGTAACTGGTAGCCATCTCTTGTTCCTTGGTGCCCATACTCTTCTCAACTGTCCCCAATGCCACTGCTTGCAGGAACTGATCTTTTCTTTTGGGCTAAGGCTGGCCTGGCAAATCAGTGTTCTCAGGTCTTTGAGGAGATACAGGGTTGGGGAGCCAACTTGGGCTAGCAAATGTTAGCTGAGGAGAGGTCATAGACGGGCAGGAGTTGTTTTGCTCTGACCCTGAGGAGGGCAGTCTGCGTTTGGGGCACAACTCATCACATTCAGCCTACTGCTTGCTGACTTTTTATAAGTTGATTAAAAAAAGAGATTTATTTACTATGTATACAGTATTCTGCCTGCATGCATGCGCTGCAGGTCAGAAGAGGGCACCAGATGCTTTTACAGATGGTTGTGAGCTACCTTGTGGTTGCTGGGAATTGTACTCAGAACCTCTGGAAGAGCAGCCAGTACTCTTAACCTCTGAGCCATCTCTCCAGCCTTTGTAAACTGATTTTTATAAATCAGATTTAAGCTGTATGTATACAATGACTATAAAGTAGATTTATAAAACCTTCTGGAATAGTATACAGAATTAGATTTTACATATAAACCATTTGGCATACTAAACATTGAATATTAGCTGACATTTGAATTTTTAATTATTTTTGGATTTTTGGTATCTTCTATTGTGGATAATTCTATTTCTACACACACACACACACACACACACACACACACACACACATATATATATATGTTTTGCTCTTGTATTTATTAGAGAATATACTTTGTGGGCATTTTCTTTTTCTTTTTTATTTTTAAGATTGTATTTTAATTATAAAATTTCTCCCTTCACTTTTCAATCTCTGAACCCTCCCTTGTACCCCTCTCTGCCCTCCTTCAAACTCTTTTTTCATCAAGTGTTAGCATTTTCCTGGTTAATGATTGCTGTGAAAGGACCCAACCTACTATGGCTGGTGCCACCCTGGACAGATGGTTCTGGGTGCATAAGAAAGAGAGTCAATTTTGGGGGGACAATTTAATGAATGTGTACAATGTATTATAAATACACTTAACCCATTATCCTCTTTGGGGTCAAACCCCAGTCTTCTTCCCAGTTCCTACTTCCTATTTCCATGTCATTTTATATACAGGTAGCTGCTGCTACCATGTGCTCGTAATTGCATCAGCTAAAACATAGGTTAAAAATATATTTGAGACAAGATCTTTTTTATTGATGTTTATTGAGCTGTACATTTTTCTCTCCTCCCCTCCCTGCCTTTTCCCTCCCCCCTTCAACTCTTCCCTCAAGGTCCCCATGCTCCCAATTTATTCAGGAGATCTTGTCTTTTTATACTTTCCTCTTCCCATGTAGGTTAGATCTATATAAGTCTCTCTTAGTGTCTGCATTGTTGTCTAAGTTCTCTGGGATTGTGGTTTGTAGGCTGGCTTTCTTTGCTTTATGTTTAAAAACCATCTATGAGTGAGTACATGTGATAATTGTCTTTCTGTGTCTGGGTTACCTCACTCAAAATAATGTTTTCTAGTTCCATCCATTTTCCTGCAAAATTCAAGATGTCATTAATTTTTTCTGCTGTGTAGTACTCCATTGTGTAAATGTACCACATTTTCCTTATCCATTCTTTGGTCAAGGGGCATTTAGGTTGTTTTTAGGTTCTGGCTGTGATAAACAAAGCTGCTATGAACATAGTTATGCACATGTCCTTGTGGCACGATAAAGCATCCTTTGGATATATACCCAAAAGTGGTATTACTGGGTCTTGAGGAAGGTTGTTTCCTAATTTTCTGAGAAATCGCCACACTGACATCCAAGGGGGTTGTACCAGCTTGCATTCCCACCAGCAATGCAGAAGTGTTCCCTTTTCCCCACAACCTCTCCAGCATAAGTTGTTATCAGTGTTTTTGATCTTGGCCATTCTTACAGGTGTAAGTTGGAATCTCAGAGTTGTTTTGATTTGCATTTCTCTGATAACTAAGGATGTTGAACATTTTCTTAAGTGTCTTTCAGCCATTTTAGATTCCTCTGTTGAGAGTTCTCCTGTTTAGGTCTGTACTTCATTTTTTTTTATTGGATTATGTGTTCTTTTGGTGTCCAATTTCTTGAGTTCTTTGTATATTTTGGAGATCAGACCTCTGTCTGATGTGGGGTTCGTGAAGATCTTTCCCCATTCTGTAGGCTGCTGTTTTGTCTTGTTGACCGTGTCCTTTGCTTCACAGAAGCTTTTCAGTTTCAGGAGGTCCCATTTATTAATTGTTTCTTTCAGTGTCTGTGCTGCTGGGGTTATATTTAGGAAGTGGGTCCCTGTGCCAATGCGTTCAAGCGTACTTCCCATTTTCTCTTCTATGAAGTTCAGTGTGACTGAATTTATGTTGAGGTCTTCAATCCATCTGGACTTGAGTTTTGTGCATGATGATAGATATGGGTCTATTTTCATTCTTGTACATGTTGATATCCAGTTATACCAGCACCACTTGTTAAATATGCTTTCTTTTTTTCATTTGATATTTTTTGCTTCTTTGTCAAAGATCAGGTGTTCGAAGATGTGTGGATTGATACCCGGATCTTCTATTTTGTTCCATTTGTCCTCCTGTCTGTTCTTATGCCAATACTAGGCTGTTTTCAGTACTGTAGCCATGTAGTAGAGTTTGAAGTCAGGGATTGTGATGCCTCCAGAAGTTCTTTTATTGTACAGGATTGTCTTGGCTATCCTGGGTTTTTTGCTTTTCCATATGAAGTTGAGTACTGTTCTTTTGAGGTCTTTGAAGAATTTTGATGGGATTTTGATGGGCACTGCGTTGAATCTGTAGATTGCTTTTGGTAAGATTATTGAGGCAAGACCTTTACAGTGTGTCCCTGGCTATCCAAGATCTCTGTATATAGATTTAGCTAGACTTGAACTCTCAGCAATCTACCCCCCTCTACCTCCCAAGTGTTGGGATTAAAAATGTGTGCCACCAAGCTCTTCTTAAATTTTTATTTATGTGTCTGTGTGTATGTCACAAACGTGAGGTGGCCACAGATACCAGAAGAGGTGGTTGGATCCTCTGGAGCTGGAGTTACAAGTGGCTGTAAGCTGCCTGAATGGTGCTGGAAATCCAACTTGAGTCCTGTGAAAAAGTAACAAGTACTCTTAACTGCCTAGCCATCTCTCTAAACTGAATGATGAGTTCCAGGACTGCCAGGGCTATGTAGTGGCACCGTGTCTCAAAGAGTCAAGAACAAAACAATTAGAGACAGAATTGTCTGTCCTGGAGCTTCCTATGTAGTCCAGGCCGTCTTTGAACAATTGAGACAGAGTCGACTGTCCTGTGTGATCAGCCAATAGCTTTTGGGTGTACTAGACTTAGGGGTGTGATCTTCTGTCTGTGAACATAATTGCTTTTAAGAGAGAGGAGGGGCTTGTCCATTCTCTTGTGTGGTGGCCGGAGATCTGATTGCAGCTTCCAGGGCTCACAGAGCAGAGGACCACAGCACCTCTCTACCTTGTTGTTCATGAGTGTTCCCCAATAAATATTTTATACCCCCCTTTATCTTGGGCTCTCAGGGATTCACTTACACATTTCAATACAGAGTTGTTTATTTTAGGCATACTTAAGCACAGCACAGTTTTGAGAAAACTGTTCTGGTGATGATGAACTGAATCCCATGTACACAATAAAAAAAAGATATAAATTTCCTTGAGGCACAAAGTAAACCAAATACAGATCAGAAGTGGCTATGTGACAACTATTTGTAGCTGGGCAGTGTCTTAATATTCCAGGTTCCTTGGTGCTTCTCTGTGAGTCCAAAGACTTCTCTGCCTCCTACTGAGCAGCCACAATGAGCCTGGCTAGCAATAAAGTAAAAATACCCATTAATACAGACACAAACATTTAGGAGAAATGGTCTACCCAAGCAATATCTGAGCTGGAAGGGAGTAAAAATTTCATTGTAAATAAAATTCTGAATTTGATCATTAAAACTACATTGACTAAACATTGAAAATCTGTTTTTTCAAGACAGGGTCTCACCAAGTAGTCCTGACTAGCCTCTCTCAGTAGACCAGGATGGCCTCAGACTCACAGAGATCCACCTCTCACTGTCTTCTGTGTGCTGGGATTAAAGATGTAAACCTCCATACCAGACAAAAACCTGGTGGTTCGGAAATTAGAAATTACCAGATGGATGCGTAATTATCTAAAGCCGAACTGAGAAAGATCACAGAGGCGTTGAGGAGGCAGCTTCCTGGCTGTGTGCCACTGGATGGGTGTTCTTCACGTACCAGACAAACTGGCATAGTAAAAACACTCTCTTCTCACAAAACAGTTTCCCGGGTAGGGAAATGTCCCTAAGGACACATCATGGGCAGGCCAAGTGCAAGATTGTTACTTATTAGCCCTCATTTCTATCATGATATGAAGCACGTGATCCATGCTAAATACTCAGTAAGCATTTACTAAACTCTAGGAGAAACAGGTAGCTTACCTTGCTTCTTCTGAAGTGTGTGAGAGTTAAAGTGAAGTAAATGGTACACACTGACTTAGTGTAGAGCGTCATCCACTTTTCTGCAATGAATGAATGACTGACTAAATGAATGAATGGTGGCACAAATGAATATTGAGTGTAGTGCTACACATCCATAGGTGAGCTATGGGAAAACCCATTTCCTCCTCCCCTTCCCTGTTCATAGTAATAAAAATACACAATATTTATCTCGTGTAAAATAGAAAACACAATTGTGTGGGCTTTCTTATTCCATGTCAATAAAATAGTGCCTTGTCCCTGTCCTTTTCTGTTTTCAGGCGATCCTTGTCTTTGTACTAAGCATCGGCTCTCTCATAATCTATTTCATCAATTCAAGAGAGTGAGTAGAAACCACAGTCATTCTTGTCTGCTTTACCAGTAACTTAATTGCCTTAGAACTTCTCTCCAGGGATGTCAAACAGAGTTTTGCTTGCTTGTGCATGCGCATCCCCACAACTCTGCCCCACACCCAGCCTCCACAGAAGCTAATCAAAATGGCAGCCATGTAGCTGCCCCCCAGTGAGCACTACCTTCACATCTGTGATAAGAGCTTGCAATTCGCCCTGCATTTCGCCACCTCCATTGCTAGTGTTGGGGTTGGATGGATAGCCGTGCCCTGGGGACTCTGAACTGGCACCTGTCACTCTGAATTCCTCAGGAGCTGAGAAAGAAGTCCTGGGGTAATTCAGAGCCCTCACGCTTCAGAGACCTCAACCCTGGAGCCATTCTTTGACGTCACTCTCTTCTTATATCTCTCAAGGCTAGAACGGTATTTTTAAAGAACTAAACCAAGTCTAACTTAAACTTCATGCTGGATATATCAACTATCCAGCTGGGGTAAAAATAAGGATCACAGGCTACAAAAGCCAAGCTACTTTAGAAAATTCGGGGAAATGGTAGTCTTTGCTTTGTAAATTTCTCACACATCTTTTAGGATATATCTTTAAACTTGTTTCAGATCCATTCATTTTATCTTGAGTAGCCTTATCTCAAAGGAGTAGCTAAAGAGGCTGAAAACTTTTGACACGATAGTTTTTCAACCACAAAGGACCGCATAATTTCCCAGACTCTGAATCCCCACTTACAAAGTTGAAACAGAACCAATAAGTTCTGTAATAGGCCATGCTCCTACTGTGCATGGCCTAGTGGCTTCACTTACTTCATAGTTCCGCTCTCAAAGGGGAGATAGTTCCATTCACACGTGAACATGCATCTTGAATGGATAGCTCACGTTGAATATGTACATTGCCTACATTTATCTCTGCTCTGTAGACATAGGTTTTAAAATGTTCATCTTTGCAAAATGTTCCCATTTCTTTCCAGCCCCGTTCGAAAGTGTTCTTCACATCAAGACAAAACCGTCCCTGTTGATTTGAGTTTCAATGTTTTCTTTACTTTTTATTTTGGGTTGAGGGTAAGTATCTAGATAAAATGATAAGTCATCTCCCCAACCCCCACCGACACATAACACAAACAGAAGCAATGTAAAGAGACCAACTTGTTCCTCAGTTATTAAATCTCTCTCAGTTTCCAGGCTCTAAGTTGCTAAATACTTGAGACCAAAAGCCTACATCTTCTGGGCTTGAACATGTCAGCCAGGTCCAGAGTTCCAGCACAACTGAGAGTGACCTGCTTTTAAACAGCATGTCTGCAGTCCTTACTGGCTTCTTGCCTCCCACGGGGGAAGCTTTACTAACAGACAGAAGCAAGTAGACCTCGAATGTCTTTGTTCTACTAGTGGCATGCATGCCATCTTATATGTATATTTTTGATTTGTTTTTCAAGAGTTTTTCTTTTTTAAGTTCTACTTATCTTATGTGTGTGCATGTTATGTCTGCATGTATGTCTGTGCGCCACTTGCCCATGGTGCCCAGAGAGGCCAGAAGAAGGCACGGGATTCTGTGGAACTGGTTACAGGTGATTCTGAGTCACCATGCGGGTGTCAGGAACTGAACGTGGGTCCTCTGCAAGAGCAGCAAGTGCTTTTAAACACTGAGCCATATCTCCATATCAGAATTTAATGTTCTAAATCTAAATTCAGAAGGTCAGAAAACACAATGACCAGGCAAGCTTTTTCATTGGCAACTGACCTAAACCATATATCATTACTGATCACAAATAAGCTCTATGTATATGACATACACACACAGATATGTAAAAGTATGATTCCTCTCTCCCTCTCACTGTTGTTTTGTTTTGGTTGGTTGTTTTTGAGACCGGTCACACTGTATAGCTCTAGCTGGCTGGGAACTCTCACTGTAGACCAGGCTGGCCTCAAACTCATGGAGACCCACCTACCTCTGCCTCCTGAGTGCTGGGACTAAAGTTGTGTATCACCATGCTCAGTCCAAGGTCCATTCTCTTTATGCAACATGTATGCATTTGTGTATTTACATAAATGTATGCATCTGTATACGTGTTAAATAGCATGAGATTAAAACTTCAGTTAATGAATGAAATATAGCTGGGAAATAGTTGTCCTCCACAATCGCTTTAAAATTCTCAGTGGTAGGGAGAGCTTGGAGAAATAGCTCGGAAGAGTCTGTGACATTTGAGGAGGACCTGCTTTCAGTTCCCTGTTCCTCCATGGCGTTTCCCAGCTGTCTGTAATTTCAGTTCCAAAGGCTACGACGCCCTCTTCTGACTTCTGACTTGCACATGGTGCACATACAAACACACAGGCCTATATACATACAAACACATTTATGTATGTAAAATAATCTTAAAATCTTTTAAAAAAATCCTTAGGGTAATATAATGTGGGTGTTTTGTTTCCATTTCAGTTTTGGGCAGCTGAAGACAAGATCAAGTTCTGGCTGGAGATTAATTCAATTGTAGACATTTTTACTATCCCACCAACCTTTGTTTCTTATTATTTGAAGAGTAATTGGCTAGGTAAGTGTGCTGTGGCAGTCAGCAATCAACCACTCAACATCCATTTAGAATATTGAAATTTCTTTTAAAATACCTCACTGCCATTTCAAAGAACCCTCTCTTGACTGTAGAGCTTTGTACTATATTTGCAGAAACATATTTTGTTTTGTTGTTTTATTTTGAGATAGGCTCTCACTATGTAGCTCTGGCTAGCCTTGGACTCACAGAGCCCTGCCTGTCTCTGCCTCACCAATGCTGGGATGTGTCACCACCAGAAAGATCAGAAGTCATTTCTCGATCCCAGCATGTAGCAATGCAGCCGGCACACAGCAGGTGTCGCATAGTTTTTGATGGGATAGCTATATCTACGACCAGAGGGGGCAAGGCTCCAGCACCCACGGACCCTTGTGCTGGGATCTCATACAGACTCAAAGAATGACCTCCCCTGCTTTCTCAAGGTCAATCATCATATTTAGATATGCTGTAGCAGGTCTGGAAACTGTTCAGTAGTTGTTTTGTCTTTAAGGTGGGTGTATTGACAATGCATGGGCTTTTAAAAATCGGTTTTTATAAAATTTTGTTTTATTGTTTATAAATACATAGCAATTCTATTTCTTGATATTGTTAACAAACTATATAAAGTAAAACTAGGAGTATTGAAAAGCTGAATAATCAAAAGCTTAATGGACCCGTGTAAAGTTTCCTATAAATTCCAAAGTAGGGTTAGAGTGAAATGAGTAGTGCTTGTTATATTCAAGGCTGACATCTACACGCTTGATATCAGGTCTACAATGCTGTAAGGTGGGTCCTATAATAACCTCACTTTATGGGTGAGACACTAGAGAACTGGGCACCCTAGGTAAGAGTAGTTAGCTTTCAGAGCCAGGATTCAAAGGTCTTGTCCTTAAACCTGTACCATTCATCACATCATTAGACTTAAGGGTTTCTGGAAGGTAAAATGCGTGCTTCCCAATCACATTCTATTTCAGGTAGCTTTCTCCTGGTTGTTTTGTAGGTTTAAGGTTTCTGAGAGCTCTGCGGTTGCTTGAACTCCCTAAAATCCTACAGATCCTCAAGGTCATCAAGACCAGGTAACTGCAGCACTGCCTGGCATGCTAGCTTGGAAGTTTAGATTGGAAATGCAGACATTAACCGGTCCTCAAGTTCCCAATGTCCCACCAGAATTCCAGTGTGAAAATGGGACATTCCTCAGCATCTGTGCTCTCAGCCACTCACTTCCACCAGGTAGCATTTAGCACTCTGGCTGAAGCCTTGGCAATCCTTGTAAAGAGGATTATCCCTTTACGAGGATTATGCTTATACCTTGTTTTGAAAAATTATAGTATGTAAGCCTGCTTTGATTTTAATTCCAGATCTCTTTTCCCAAAACAAAAATAGTCACAGGCCCAAATAATACAGCCTCTTGTCATTGCTCCTGGTGTTCCACAAGGAGCAGATAAGATCCAGTTGCTGAAGACAACACACCCCTCAGTTGTGTAAGGCAGAAATCAGCCTGGAACCAAGCCGAAAGCCTCCCCTCTGCCGGCTGGCTCTGAGTCCTTCCCTGAAGAGGCTGTGCATGCTGCTGGGGTAAAGAAGGCATCAATGGCCTTACCTAGTTGTGGGTCCTACAGCTGTAAGACCAACTTACCAGACAAGATGTGCCCACTGGTGCAGCACTGGTACTATCATGGGATAGCAAATTGCTTGGATTTGAGACCCGCCGCATGGGAGGGAATCCATGCCTGGCACTGTGAACCTGGTTAAAAATCCATGCCAGGGGATACAGGCACTAAAGGGTGGTGGCAAAGGGCACATGGATGGAATACTATTGTTTAACTATATTTCATAATGTAAAACTACTTTCTAAATACATACATTTAGACCCATAGACAAATGCTACTCTCAGCCTTAATCAGAGACACCATTTTTCCTAGTGACCAGTGGTGAGTGCAGAGTTCACGGCTGGACAAAGTGCTGATAGGAAGTGATATACGATACGAGCATTCAGCTCTAAACAAGACCCACATTCTATCCCCTCTAAGGTTCAGGGAATGTTGCTGAAGAGGAGGCAGAAAGAATGAATGTAAGAGCCAGAAGATAGAGAGAAAGGCTGTAAAATGCCATCTCCACAAGACACAGCCACTGCAACTGTGATCTCACAGTAGCCATGGATGTTTGCCCTGGGTCTGCACAAGAATGCGCCCACTGCCAGTCAGGCACGGATGGAGCGAGGGGCTTAAAGGGCACTACCCTCACTGATGAACCGTTGTATACTGATAAATTGAGAGAGCTGGAGAGTCAGTTGTGTACCCAGTGGTGACCCCGCTAGGTTCCAATGGACAATTCCAATCCACTGCTCAGAAGGTGGCTCTAGTTAAACCACGTGGGTTACAAGGCAAAACCAAGAGTCATGAATCTGGGGAAGGGACTGGTGGGGTGGGATCAACAGGATGATAAGTGAGGGTTGCAGAGAGAGTACTCAGAATGCATTTTATACATGTGTACAATTATGAAATAGCAAAAGTAATCAATTGAAAAAGAATCACCTCTTGTTGGCTAGTAAAATAAACGTTTCTTCAGGTGAGAGATGTAACAGTTCCCCTGAGCATGAATGATATCCATCAGCAGCAGTGAACTATTGCCTAGAGAAGTAGAGCCATGAGCTTAGGGATTTGAGACCTGCTCCATGGGAGCTTAATAGGAGAGTGTTTACCTAGCATATACCAGGTCCTGGGTTCAAATCCCAGCATTACAGGCAAATAAAAGTAATGCAACTTAAATATCTCCAAAAGATAATAATAAAAGTCCAAACCGTCTCTTTGAATGCACGGCTACATTCTTATTAAAAGTGTCAATGATACAGTCTCAGTGCATCTCAATGTGAAGTATGCATTGTGAAGAAGTCAAGGCTGGAAACACTGTTTTTACTTGACAAACGGCCAGTTCAGAAGCCACAGCTGTCTCAGCTAAACTCTAGGCTTTTCTTGACGGATGGACATAAGCCTCTCTGATCCTGGTATGTAGTGTGACACTACGTTCCTATAATCTAGTTACTTCTAGTCACTCCCGCCCTTTGTTCTACTACTTTAGACAAGGTTGTATATAACCTTACAAATGTATTGAGTACTGATCACATGTATGCCTTTAACACACCAGCTTGTAGATGTTGCAGTCAAGTCTGTAACGCTGGAAGAAACACTTGACACTGGGGGAGTCTCCAGCAGTGTTTCTCAGCCTCTTAATGCATACATGAATGATACAGAGGCCCTATAACCATGCAGACTGATAGGTGAGGGCAGTGCTCCAGGTGATGCTGTACCTTCCAGTCGGTGGGTCACATGTGAGCAGAAGCTGGGCTCTTGGTGGACAATGCATTTGTATTGATTGAGAACCTGCCTGCAGAAACCTAACACTTGGCCTTGTCCTTTCAGCAATTCAGTGAAGCTTGCTAAACTCTTGTCAATCGTTATCAGTACCTGGTTCGCAGCTGCAGGATTCCTTCACCTGGTAAGCAGATCATCACATTTCCAATGGTATCCGCCAGTGTGAGCATCCTTGCAGTCCCCAATGGTATCCACCAGTATGAGCATCCTTGTAGTCCCCAATGGTGTCCGCCAGTGTGAGCATCCTTGCAGTCCCCAGTGGTATCCGCCAGTGTGAGCATACTTGTAGTCCCCAATGGTATCCACCAGTATGAGCATCCTTGTAGTCCCCAATGGTGTCTGCCAGTGTGAGCATCCTTGTAGTCCCCAATGGTATCCACCAGTATGAGCATACTTGTAGTCCCCAATGGTATCCGCCAGTGTGAGCATCTTTGCAGTCCCCAATGGTATCCGCCAGCGTGAGCATCCTTGCAGTCCCCAATGGTGTCCACCAGTGTGAACATACTTGTAGTCCCCAATGGTATCCGCCAGTGTGAGCATCCTTGCAGTCCCCAGTGGCATCCACTAGTGTGAACATCCTTGCAGTCCCAAATGACATTCTATGATCATCCTTTCTTTGAAACTGGAGAGGGACCAGACCAGAGATTTATTTCTTTACTTTCACCTTTTCGGTTTTACTTTCATTCTCCACCATCATATTTATCATAATCTTTGCATCTCCCACCATCAAGAGAGCTTTGTTTCATCTTTTGATACTTCAAAATCTGGCTCTAGTGAAAAATTTCATTAGATCTAAAGTTTTAACACATAGGTAAGTGTTAATCCTGAGAGTCATGATAGAAAAACCAGTTCCATAAGTTTGAGCCAAATTTGAAGCAAGCTTTAATTAAGTACTGACCAGAGAAATGGACTCTGATCAGGACCACCCCTGGGTTCCCAGTGAGTGTCAATGAGATGCAAGATGTGTGTTGAGGGCCTTTTTAAAGACAAAAATCACACAGCCACCTTATTTCCCATGTGACTTTGTTATTTGCCAAGAACTACAATTCCTAACATTCCAGGAAGCTGCCTGGGCTTTGTGCAGGTGGGACTTACAGGTTGCCTTTGGCTTTTACATAAGGTTTATTGATAAATCTTCATGGAAGTTTGGGGATTCTTAATTTTTAAGTAAATATATAAAAGTGAAAGAATGAAGCTAGGGCCAGGGTGTAGTTCAGTGGTAGAGCACTTGCCTGTACAAGGCCTTAGGTTTTTTATCTTCAGCACTGGAAAAAAAAAAGCCAATGAAAGAATTCCAGTCTTATTAAAACTATATAGTTGCTGGGAGTGGTGAGTTGCTACTGAAAAGAGGGTTTTGGGGCTACCCTTTAGGGTATTCCCATTCTTCTGGAAATATCCACAGGGAAAGGCTTGTTTCTACCCCCACAAAATGAGCCTTTGTCGGTTTCCTCAATAGAAAGGGCTCCTGGCTTCAGTGTTCCAGGACAGCTGAATATCAGAAGATGGGGGAGTTGAAGTGCAGTGCTTGGAAGCCTTCAGAATGTTTTCCGAAAAACAAAACTAAAGTAGGAAAAGTCTTTGTGACTTGAGGTTCTCTCTGGAAATTAAACAATGACTATAAAAAGATCTAGAGCGTGGTTGATTAAGAAAATAGTCAGACATAACCACAGTCTCTGAGAGAAGCTTGGAGAATTATGAAACCAGCCACACCACTGCACAGTGTTCAGCTGGCATGGAGGTTTTCTTGCAATGTCCCAGCAGAAAGGGTAGATTGATCTTCATGTTGATAACATTGGACAAGAGTCTCATTCTTTCCAGGGCAGAAGCAACCCAACCATTGCTATCCCCGAGTTCTAGAGGAGACACCACTAAGACATCCTTAACCTTTACTTCCAGTGAGACCTAGAGGCAGGTTTTATTTGGCTAATTATTTCATTAATTTCTGTCTTGCCTTTGCTTTTCTTATTTTTTCTTCCTTCCTTCCTTTATTTCTTTCTCTTTCTGTTAGTTGCTAACTCTTATGAAACATTCATGTACATGTGGCTTTATGGGTTCTTTGGGAGAATACCAGAGTCTCGATAGCTCATTCTTTCAAGGTCACAAGAGGTCATAGCAGGATAGCTGCTGCCTAGGTAGTGTGGTGCTGCTGGACTCTGAATCTTTGAAGTCTCTCTACTTCAGTCCTCTAAGCATGGGAGCATGCTGGACATGCAGCTCCTCGATGCAGGACGTCTCCAGCAGGGATTCATTCAGAAAAAATAAGGAGAATTGAGGAACAAGAGGGTTCCATTTTGAATCATAACTGATTTTGAAAATGTAAACAACAACAAAAGAAAAGTTTTTAAAAACCCTAAACTAAATGAACTTTATTCAAGAGCACAGAAAATCGTAGATTTTGTTGAGAGGATGTTGAAGCTTCCGCCCCAAATCCAAGTTCTGGTTGTCCTACTGCCTCACCATTTTGTAATCACACTGTCCTTCGGCTAAGCATTGGTACCATTCAAATTTTTAGGGTTCAAGACTGTATACCAGGCTGGTCTCAAACTCAGAGATTCACCTAACTCTGCCTCCCAAGGACTGGGATTAAAAGCATGTACTACCATCTGATACCATTCAAATTTGAGTATTAACTAAATAGAAATCTTTATGTTTCCTAAGCTTAAATTCCATAAAATAATAAAAAGTAGTTACAGAATACAATAGTGATAAACTACTAAATGTAATTTGCCAAGTACCCTCCTTGTTTAAATGAGTACAATTGAGCCCCTAAAAATCTAACATGATCCCTTATAGAAAGTCATAAAATATTTTGACTATCAGTGGGATAGGCACTGGCAACTTGGCCATCTTCTCCTCACTCATCTTCATAAAGGCAGCCCTAACTGACCTCAGCGAGTCATACACAAAACTTCTGAGATGACAACAACAACAGCAACAACAACAACAACAACAACAGCAAAAGGCATAAAAGTAGGAACAGATCTCGTTGGGATAAAGAAGGGATTCAATGGGAGAAACATAATGGGGCAAAGGTGAAAATGACCAAAATACATTATATACATGTATGACATTGTCAAAAAAGAAAATATTTCTAAAAATCTTGAATAAAAAAATGTGACTGAAATGATTATTAAACAATAGAATTGAAGAGTAGGTTCAAAGATATCAGAAGATTAAGCTGTCCTATGGAGGAGAAGCTATTGCAAAAGAAGAGAACCAGATGCAAAAGAAAAATGTGATGGAACAAAGTGAGAAGCCTGGAAGACAGCACTGTGGGGCAAACACTGGCTCGAGAATGGACAGACGCGCCTGAGGAGAAAAACATAACCAGTGAAGAACAGGCATCAAAGAGACTTCATGCACTTCATACATACCAAGTGTTCTCAAAGAGATGCTTGAGATGAAGTCTGGCATTTGTAAATGGAAAGCAATACTGTGCATGAGAGAAAATGACTCCCAGTCAATAAAGTCTTTAGGTCAAATAAAACACGCCTGTGTGTTGCATTGAGCCTGAGAACTTCTCACTGGAACTACAGGAGAGGTTCCTAATGATATGTCCTGTAGCATTCTGGGACAGTAATGTTTGCTTCTTCCTGATAGGCACATGATTCTCTGTCCAGCTCTGTCAGTGATGGGATGGATCTACCCTCCCTGCTCTGTGTGGAGCCCTCACTGGTCTTCAAGGCTAAGAAGAGAGAACAAACTGAAGAAAGGAAGGCTGGTAGAAGAAAGCAAAAGAAAGGAACATCAAATTGCTTGGTAGCATTGCCCAATATCAGATGATGATGCGAAGCTTGTGTGAAAGTGAATATAACTTCTCTTCCCATCATAAACCTGCAAGGGAAAACAGCAGCCTTGTCAGAAATGTGTGCCAATTAAAAAACCAAACCACAGAGGGAGTGGGAAAACTAAGCAGCTGGGAGTGGAGAGTCATGGTGAAAATGGAGTGATTAAGAAAGACAAATGTCATAAGCAGAGACATGATGGCTGAGTGCTAGTGTGTGCACTTACTGTCTTAGTCTTAGTGACAAAACAGCAGGACCAAAGCAAGCTGGGAAGGACAGGGTTTGTTCAGCTTAGCTTACACATTGCTGTCCACCACTGAAGGAAGTCAGGACAGGAACTCAAACAGGACAGGAACCTGGAGCAGAAGTTGATGCAGAAGCCATGGAGAGATACTGCTTACTGGCTTGCACTCAGTTGCTCAGTCTTTCTTTCTTTCTTTCTTTCTTTCTTTCTTTCTTTCTTTCTTTCTTTCTTTCTCTCTCTCTCTCTCTCTCTCTCTTTTTAAAGTTTTTTTTTAAATATTTATTTATTTTATTATGTATACAATATTCTTTCTGCGTGTATGCCTGAAGTCCAGAAGAGGACACCAGACCTCATTACAGATGGTTGTGAGCCACCATGTGGCTGCTGGGAACTAAACTCAGGACCTTTGGAAGAGCAGGCAATGCTCTTAACCGCTGAGCCATCTCTCCAACCCCTAAAGTTTTTTTTGTTTTGTTTTTATTTTTTGTTTTATTTATTTTTTTTTGAGACTGGATTTCTCTGTATCTTTGTAGATACTGTAGCTTTGAAGTCTATTCTAGAACTAGCTCTTGTAGTCCAGGCTGGCCTCAAACTCAGAGAGATCTGCCTGCCTCTGCCTACTGAGTGCTGGGATTGAAGGCGTGCACCACCACTGCCTGGCCAATCTACTTTCTTATAGAATCTAGGACTACCAGCCCAGGGAATGGCACCACCCATAATGGGCTGTGCCCTCCCCCATTGATCACAAGTTGAGAAAATGTCTTACAGTCTTGTCTACAGCCCAGTCATAGAGACATTTTCTCAATTGAGGTTCCCTCCTCTCAGATAACTCTAGTTTATGTCAAGTTGATATAAAAGTAGCCAGTACAACTGATCCCTTATTAACTTGACACACAAGCACACCACTTTTCAATTAGAACCTTTCCTTTCTCATGTATCCCCAAGATGACATGTTAATATTAATATAACATAAATATAAATAACTTTAGAAGTGCCATAGTCCTCACAAATTCAACCACATTAAAACTTAAATCTCCTTAAAATATCCAATCTCCAAAAATCCCAAATCTCTTTTAAAAGTTCAGTCTTTCAGCTGTGGGATCCTATAAAAAGCAAAATTAAGTTAAATACCTCTCTCCTTTGAGAGGGAAGAACCAGGGCCCAACCACAGCCTGAACAAAGCAAAACCAAACTCCAACAGTATAAATAGCTAGCATCCAATTATCTGGGATTCACTCGTGATCTTCTGGACTCTTCCAAAGGGCTTGGGTCACTGCTCCAGCTATGCCCTCTGCCTCACACAGTTGTCTTCTAAGCTCTGGCTCCACTCCACTGTTGCTGTCCTTGGTGGCCATACCATGGGACTGGCATCTCGAAAATGCTAGGTCTTCTGCTGCAATTGGGCTGCTTTTTCACCAATAGCTCTCCTGTGCTGTCTTCATCATGCCATGCCCCTTCAGGCTGTCAAAACCAGTGCCACCCAGGTGACTCTTACACTACCAAGTTCAGTTGCCAGTCCGAGGTACAGCCTTGGCCACCTCTGGAACACAGTTTCTGTGTGCTGACTCTCAAAATACACTTCCCAGAAGATTTCACCTTAATGATGTTGGACTCTTAATCACTTCTAATTTCTCAGCGCCAGCTAGCCAGCATCCACCATCCCAGTAATGTAAGGGGTTTACTTTAGTGGCTCTGGACTCTTGTTAACCACTACTAATTCTTTAGTCCCAGCTGACCAGACACCACAGATTCAGCACACAAAAGGCCAGGTAGAGTCTCTGCTTCCCTCAGAAACTTCACAAGCCAGGCCTCCATTGTCTGCACTGCTCTCAACCTTCTTATCTCCCAGGTTCCCACAGAGCAGCCCACTGAGCTCTCAACACTCAGTGGTTTTTCCAACCCAAAGTTTCAAAGTCTTTCCACAGTCGTCCCCCAAACAACACGGTCAGGTCTGTCACAGCAACACCCAACTATCCTGGTACCAGCTTGTCTTAGGGTTTCTATTGCTGTGATGAAACACCATGACTAAAAGCAAATTGGTGCCACCTTATTCGGATCAATTTGGAAAAGCTTGCTTTTCCTTAGATGTTAAGGTCATGTGCTGAAACTCACTAAAACCTGTGCTCAGCTACCTTGATTTTCCCCATCTTCTTAGAAAATGAAAATGAATGTTGACCGCTGGAGACCCCTGGCTCCAGGATGTAGTTCTGGGCCTCAAGGGAAGCAGGCAGCAACCCTCATAGGGCGTTTCAAATCTGAGCCCCTGCCACATGCCCTGTCAGGTGTTAATGATAATCCTAGCTGTGGAAACAAGGCTTGCTGATCGGCACTTGCAATTCGCAGGGCCCTCTCAGCAGCTGCAGTCGTTTACTCTTGTCTTTGGATCGAATCGGGGAAACTGATACAGTGTTTGCCTTCTCCTCCTTCTCTTCTATTCACAGACCTTTCCTTTGCCATCTCTCTTTGGACAGGTGGAAAATTCTGGTGATCCCTGGCTCAATGGCAGGAACTCACAGTCTATGTCATATTTTGAGGCCGTTTATCTGGTAACAGCAACAATGTCAACTGTTGGCTTTGGGGATATTGTGGCCAAGACAACCCTAGGACGGACTTTTATTATTTTCTTCACCCTTGGAAGTTTGGTGAGGGATACTTTTACTATCTCTTGAGTATAAAAATAAAGCATTCAGTTAATGGTAAGAGAACAATATAGATTTGAAAGTGAATGTTGCTTTAGTTAGTGTATGTGGCAATGAGAAGATGCCCAGATCCCACATTTTCCTAACTGTATACCCTGGTACATGGAATGCAACTGCTTGGTTTCCAAGGGTGAAAGGAGGAAGATTCCACATGGAATCAAGCAAGTCCATCTTCCTCCATTTTTTCCCATCAGACTAAAATCTTCTCCTGAAGAGGAAGAACATTTGAGATTTGGTTCTGTGCCATCTCTCTCAAATGACAATCACTTACTACACTAGTAATTAGTTCCAGGTAAACTCCAGATAAGAGTATTTATGTGCCTGGCAGTGGAGGTGCACACCTTTAATCTCAGCATTCAGGAGGCAGAGACAAGTGGATCTCTGTGAGTTCGAGGCCAGCCTGATCTACAGAGTGAGTTCCAGAACAGGCTCCAAAGATACATACAGAAACCCTGTCTCAAAAAAACAAACGAGAGAGAGAGAGAGAGAGAGAGAGAGAGAGAGAGAGAGAGAGAGATTGAGAATTTGACTATTTGACTTGGAAGTGTCAAGGGCAAAGGAACCCTCATTTCTTATATTAATCTCTTACAATCCACAACCGTGTGCTCCACTCCACCATTCTTATATTGGCATGACCAGTGCTACCTTCTGACATTTAGTCATCATCTCTAGGCCCTCCAGTGTCATATGTGAAGTGTTTTTTGTTTTTAAGATTGATTTGTTTGTTATGTATACAGTATCTGCCTGCATGTGTACTTACATGCCAGAAGAGGGCACCAGATCTCATTACAGATGGCTGTGAGCCACCATGTGGTTGCTAGGAATTGAACTCAGGACCTCTGGAAGAGCAGACAGTGCTCTTAACCACAGAGGCATCCCTCCAGCCCTTGTTTTGTTTTTTAATAGTCTAAACAGTGAGAAGTCATAATGAGAAAGAAGTTAAAGGCTATCAAGGGACAAATTTGTAGAGTAGTTATCTAATATTTGTGCTTATCAATTTGAAAGCTGGACATCAATTTGTTAATTTTCATCAAAATCCTGACTCTTAAAAACCTCAGGAAAATATAGTCTCTCTTTAAAAATGCAGCTCACTGATAGAGCCTTGTGCTAGGTCAGTGGTTCTCAACCTGTGGATCATGACACCTTTGACAAATCTCTAGCTCCAAAAAACCCTTACATTATGATTCATAACAGTAGCAAAATTACAGTTAAGTAGCAACAAAATAGTTTTATGGTTGGGGGTCACCACCATATGTGGAACTGAATTAAAGGCTCACAGCATTAGGAATGTCAAGAACCACTGTGCTAGATGAAAGACATTTATGTATACTTGTCTTTTTCTTTATAGCCTTCTAATTTGAAAATACCTGTCAAAAAATGAGCCCTGAGGAATTTCCTTTTTTTCTTACTATTTTAGATACTGTTTGCAAACTGCATCCCAGAAATGGTGGAGCTTTTTACCAGCAGGAAGAAGTACATCAAGCCCTATAAAGCAGTCAAAGGAAAGAAGTAATTAGCTCTTCCTTATAATTCCTACAATTTTAGACATTCCAGGGTGCTGGAGAGGTGGCTCTGTAGTTAAGAGCATTGGCTGCTCTTCCAGAGGACCCGGATCCAATTCCTAGCACCCACATTGCAGCTCAAACCTGTCTGTAACCCCAAGATCTACACTCTCACACAGGCGAAACACCAACGCAAATAAACTTAAAATAAACTCATTCTGTTGGTCACATATCCTGTTGTAGACACATACTGCCTGCCCTAGTTACAGGCCTGAGGACACACGTGGCCAAAGTTGTTCGCTCACTGAAGAGAATCGTGATAGAACGAGTGTTATACAAACAGGATGTTCACTGTTTGATGCAAACTGCCATCAGAGCTATTCATAAGAGTGTTTAATCAACTTACATTAACCTAGATATAAGAGAGAGAGTTGCCCAAAATAATGACACTTGTGAAGAGCAGAGTTTTGCAAGCATAGTAAGTCTACTGTATGATAAATAGCTATGACGATTGTAACTATAAGGGGAGCTTCACTAGAAATCTTAGAATACTGTGGCTTTTTTGAAGACATGCACGTTTTGAGATGAGGCAAAGGACTATAGAACTGGATGGTTCCTTTGTGCTTTGGATTCATTCATGTTTGTATTGCTAAAATCTAAAGGATCCACAGACAAAACTTATTGAGAACACGTTTAAGCTAATTGCTGTTCTATAAGCTTGACGTTAAGATATAGTCAGATCGCCTTGATTCTGGGTGTCCAAGAAGCCTCAGATAAAAAATATTTGGAAAAACTTGGCATCGCTACTGAGCTTACATAGACTGTTTTCCTTGTCATTGTCCCATGAACAACACACCATGACAACTATTCACATGACATTTACATCGCATTAGATTTTACAATAACCTAGAGATGACTTAAAATAGGTCAGGGGATGTACGTGTGTAGGTTGCATTTGTTTATGACATTTTAAATGAGGACATTGAGCAGCTATAGATTTTGATGTGGGGCCAGTTCTTGTAGTCTATTCCCTCAGATACCATGGGAGAGCCATACTTTTGTTCCTCAGGTGATCCTCTTCCCTTTCTTGCTGCCTAGGTTCATCGTGGTCTGTGGAAACATCACAGTTGACAGTGTGACTGCCTTTCTTAGGAATTTTCTCCACCATGAGTCAGGAGCAATCAACATGGATATTGTGTTCCTCGGAGAGTAAGTGCATCAATTTGGCACAGTGTGTTCTAAACTAATAGTTGAAGTATGTGTAAGTACTTTTTGTTGTTGTTGTTTATTTTTTGCGGTTTGAGACATAATTTTTCTGTATAATTTTGGAGCCTGTCCGGAACTTGTTCTGTAGACCAGGTTGTGTTGGCGGAGACTGCTCATTTGTTCTCAGCCTCCCAGACCTGAAATAATTACATGGAAACTATATTAATTAAATCACTGCTTGGCCAATAGCTTATACATATTTCTAGCTAACCCTAACATCTTAAATTAACCCATTTCTGTTAATCTGTGTATTGCCACAATGTTGTAGCTTACCCAGTAAAGTTCTGGGCATCAGTTTCCTCTGGCAGCTACATGGCATCTCTCTGACTCTGCCTACTTTCTCCTCGATCTCTGCTTGGAATTCTCTCCTCACTCTGTCTGCCCTGCAGAACAAGCAGCAGCAGAACAAGCCCAAGCAGCTTCTTTATTCATTAACCAAACATTCTTAGCATAGTGAGGGGAATCCCACATCAAGGTTGACCTTATACTCACAGAAATATTCCTTCCTCTGCCTCCTGAGCACTGGGATTAAAGGCATGTGCCACCACCACCAAGTTGTATAAGGAAATTAATTACACTTGTAACATTTATAGAAATTTAGGGAAACAATAGAAAACAAAATAGAAAAAACTAATTACTTCTCAGTCTTTCTTTTAAGGTCAAATGTAGAAAAAGAAAAGTAACTTCATGTCCAGACCTAACCAGTGCAAAAAGTTTGGAGTCTATCTTTCCAGATATTTTCTGCATATCTACTTACTTATTTAAGTGGCTCAGTTGTTGGACACTTAAGTACAATGAAAGCTAGCAGTAGGGACAAGGCTTCCAGGTCAGACCAGCTTGATTTCTCCATGTCTCATGACTCAGGTATGTGGTGTCTTCAGCAATAGGGTTGAAATCTTCATTCTTCAACTCCATGACCATGAGAGATCTTTCTGTGTTTTAGTGTCTTCCTCAATTACCTTCTTCTGTAGTTTAACATTGTCCTTGTAGAAATCTCTCCTGGTCTTGGTCAAGTGTATTCCAGCTTTGTTTGTTTGTTTGTTTTGGAAGATATTGTGAAATGGGGTTATTTCTCTGATTTCTTGTTTAATATATTTGTCACTGACATACAGAAAGGCTACTGTTTCGGTTGTTGTTGTTGTTGGTGGTGGTGGTATGGGGTGTGTGTGTGTGTGTGTGTGTGTGTGTGAATTTTGTACCCTGCCATGTTGCTAAAAGAGTTTATCAATTATGGGGGTTTTCTGGTGGGGTTTTTAGGATTTCTTATGTACATCATAATATCTTCTGTAACTGGGATTCTTTGACTTCTCTTCCTGATTGTATCCCTTTTAGTTCCTCTTCTGTCTTCTTGGTCTAGCTAAGACTTTAGATAGAAGTAGAAAGAGTGAGCATCATTGTCTGATTTCTCTGGGCATATCTGTAATTAGCATGATGTTGGCTGTAGGTTTCTTGTATTAGCATGATGTTGGCTATAGACTTGTTGTGTCTAGCTTTTATTATATTGAGATATGTTGACCCAATCCCTAATCTCCCTGGGATTTCTATCATGAAAGATATTGGGTTTTGTCAAAGTATATGATTTCTGCAATTGAGTCCATTGATATACTGAAGTAAGTAAATTGATTTACATATGTTGAATGATTTCTAAATCCCTGCAATGATGTCAACTTGATCATGGTGAGTAATTTTTTTAATGTGTTCTTGAATTAGGTTTGCAGGTGTTTTATTGAGAATCATTGTTTCTCTTTTCACCAGGGAGATATTTTTGTTGTGTCTTTATGTGATTTTGCTATCAGTATAATACTAACTTCATAAATTAAATTTGGAAAGCAATTTTGTATTTTCTGAATAATTCTTGAAGAATTACAGTTAGTTCTTCTTTCAGAGTGTAGTTGAGTTTTGCAGTCAAATCAGATTCATCTTGCCCCCCCACCTTTTTTCTACTAAAAGACTTAAAATTAATGCCTTGAGCCAGGCATGGTGGCACACACCTTTAATCCCAACACTGTAATTGTTTTTTACAATATGAGATTTTGGGGAGGGGGGTAAATTTTTTTACTAAATATTTTTGCTATCTTCAAAGAAATGAGATTTTCTTAATGTTGGCTAAAGAACTAATAAGTACTAAAATACTTGCTGGTTAGCATTTACAGGTGTGTTTGAAATTACTCATGCCAGTGACAGGGTCAATTTTCACATTCTGTCTGTATTCACTTCATATATCTCGAAGCCATTTTGTTAAATCATGTCTGCAAATGCTTTATTTTTTCTATTTCAGATTTTATTTTAAATTATGTGCATGTTTGTGGATATGTGCACTTAAGTGTAAGTGCCCATGGAAGCCAGAGAATGGCATCAACTCTCCTGGTGCTGGAATTTGCAGGTGGTCGTGAGCTACCTTATGTAGGTCCTGGGAAGTGAAATCTGACCCTCCATAAGCGCAGTCAATGCTCCTAACTACTGTGCTGTCTTTCCAGCCCTGAAATGCTGGGTCTCCCTGAGTGATGAAATTGTCTCATCACATTGTGATTCATTTTTACAGGACATTATTTGATTCATGGTGTCTGTATTGTTTTGGTTCTGTGTCACTAGGATTGCTCAGGCCCGACTTACAGACCCATTTGTGGATTAGGTTAGTTGTGCCAACATCCTCTAGCCGTGTGGATGTCTAACAGAATACAGATGGCTTCCGGCCATTAGGGATTTAGTAAATGTACTAAGCCAGCTAACAGCCACCAAGCAGAGACAAGCTCTGGGTTTCTGTCCTTGCCACTGAACTCTTTTGTCTAGGGCTCCTCCGACCTTGGAATTGGAGACCATACTGAAGTGCTCCTTGTCCTACACGATGTTTATATGTGGCTCCGCTCTGACGTTTGAGGATCTGAAGAGAGTTTCAGTAAGATCTAACTTTTTCTGTCCTTTCCTAAGGTGGGAGTGAAGACGATGGGCTGTGTTGCTGTACTAGGAGCTAGTAGTCCAAGTCCTTCGACTGGAGGAGTATACAGCTTCCACAGTTTTAAACACTGATTCCCAAATCCTCCTCGAGTCATAGCAAATCGACCTCAATGTCGATCTATACTACTTTTAAATTTTTCTTCTATCAAATTCTCTATGAGATTTTATTATATTACTCAAGAGGTCTGGAAAGTGATAGATAATAAAAAGTGTGTGTTCTTTTATGTCTTATTTTTAAAAATATTTAGTTCAAAAACATTTATTTGCACAGTGTATGTTGCAGTCTTCCCCAGCCTTTTATTTTATTTATTCCTTGAGAATTTTGTATACAACCTCTTGTTTTATCTGTATTCACTCCTCTCCCCATCCAGCACCTTCTGGATCCCCCAATGACCCCCACCCAACTTGATATCTCTCTCTCACTCTCTCTCACTCTCTCTCTCTTTTGTCTCTCTTTCTCTGTCCTTCTCTTGCTCTTGTTTTATAACCCACCAAGCCCAATTAGTGCTGCCCATATACATATGGGTATGAGACTCTTTATGGGAGCATGGTCAACCTACCAGGAACTGCACTCATAAGAAACACTGACTCCCTCCACTAGTAGCCATTAACTGTCAACAGCTCTTCAACTATTGACTTGTATGCCCCTCCCAGTTCATGCAGGAATGTTGACTGGCTTGATCTTGTGCAGATTTTATGCAGACAAGCAAAGCTATTGTGAGTTTGTAGGTGCAACAGTCCTATCATGTCCAGAATACACTGTTTTGTCTACAAACTTCTCAACATTTGGCTCAAAAAATCTTTCCAATTTGGCCATGTTCTCTGAACCTTGGAGGGAAGGGATGTGATACAGATGTCCACTTTGTAGCCAATCACTTAACAGACACTTAGTCTCTGCACTCTGACCAGTTGTTAGTCTCTGTTTTGACTGCTGTCCACTACATAAAGAAGATTCTCTAATGAGAAACTACACTTTTCTATGGGTATAGGTATAATATATTTAGAAGGTGGTTTGATAGTATGTCCATTTATCAAAGAAATATTAGTAGATTCTTCCCTAGTACCTCTGAGCTTCCCAGCCACGGGTTTGGGTTTGAAGTACCAGGCCTGAGTTTCTTTCTACTCCTAGGCCCTAAATCCAATTAGAGTTGATCACTCCTGCAACATTCATGCCTCTATTACACCCACCAGTCTAGTTGTAGCTTGCAGTGTTCACAGCTAGCTAAGACTTCTGCTGATGACTTTTCTCCCCCAGCAGGCTGCATAGCCAAATATGGTCTTAACCATGGGTTCCATGGGTCTCATCAACTTCCCTTGTTAAATATTGGTATGTCTTTTTTTTTTTTTTTGATTTTTGAGACAGGGTTTCTCTGTAGTTTTTGGTGCCTGTTCTGGAACTAGCTCTTGTAGACCAGGCTGGCCTTGAACTCACAGAGATCGCCTGCCTCGGCCTCCCGTGTGCTGGGATTAAAGGCGTGCACCACCACCGCCCGGCCTTGGTATGTCTTTGATAAGATAGACATTAAGAAAAATGTCCCCAGTAAGACCAAGGCCAAATGAAATGAATAATGGCCAAGTGAATAGTACAGTATGGTGTTAGATCAAAACTGACTTCCTGGTATCTAAGTAACAAACCTGAATGTTTAAGTTTAAAGAAAAAGTTTACAGCAGTGGTTCTCAACTTGTGGGTTATGACCCCTTTGGCAGGGGTGTCAAATGACACAATGGTTGCCCACGATCATCAGAAAACACAGATACTTGCATTCTTATTCATAATAGTAGTAAAATTACAGTTATGAAATAGCAATGAAAATAATTTTATGATTAGGATCACTACAACATGAGGAACTCTAAAGGGGTCACAGCATTAGGAAGGTTGAGAACCACTGGTCTATAAAGCTAAAGAAAAGACTCGCAAGCAGAAAATAACAGGCTCAGTATAATCCTTTTTTGTCTTATAACTTGTTACTATAGGAATAATTTCAATAATTTTGTGGCTCTTTAAAATTTTGAACCCAAATGTTGAGTGACTCTTCATTGTAGACAAGTATATCCCCAATTCTCCCATTGTTTGGTATCCTTAAGGTGGATAAATGTATTGGCAGTTGCTGATAAAGGTCTTATTGCTCATCAGTAGAAACTGTACCCATATGTAAAGCAACTTTCAATTTCTGTAAGAGACCCTGTGCCCTGGTCCCTCAGTTGTAGCCCTCAGTTCCCTGGCAGAATTTTCAGGACTGTGGTCTTGAGATGAAGATGTCTGGTTCATGGCTCCTTTCCTACGTGTGCTGTTCTTGTTGGCGATAGTTTAATGAAACCATAAAAACCTTCAAATAGGGAATGCTAGAGTATTTCCCTTGTCATTAACCTGATGGCTGCTGTTTAATCTGAAGAATAGATGGAGTATGCAGAAGCTTGCCTGATTCTAGCCAACCCCTTGTGCAGTGACTTGAATGCTGAAGACAATTCAAACATCATGAGGTAAGAAGCTGGTGTTGCTCTTTTGTTCTTGCATGCCTCAATGATGGTAATCTTCTTATACACAGAAACAAAGCTTATCATATAGGACTAAACGAGGGGGACATCATCTTAAATTCACTAGGGTCATCACATGCCAGGGTTCTGCTTGTTCTTTCCCCCACATGCACTCCAAAATAATTAATGCAAAGGGAAGTGAAAATAGGACATCCTAATTGTGTATGACTTTCTCCATATTTTTCCCTGATGTTTCCTCTAGATAAGAGCTATATACATTTTCAAAGCAAACATACGAACACCCTCCCCCCTTTTTATATTGGTAAGGATCAAACCCAGGATGTGATGTGTTAACTCTACCAATTAAGCTGCATTTCCAGCTGTCACTCCAGGTTGGCATTTAAGTAGTGCCCTTATGACTAAGATCATTTTCAGTTCAAAGACAAAGATGCCAATTGTAAATTCTTGTAGTTGGACTTTTCTTTCCTGGAGACCAGTTCCCAAATAAACACACAGAAACTTAATTATAAATGCTTGGCTGATAGCTCAGGCTTGTAACTAGCTCTTACATTTTAAATTAACTCATATTTCTTATCTATGCTTTACCATGTATCTTGGTACCTTTCCTCAATATGGCAAGTTCATCTCCTTTCTGAGTCTCCCTGTGATTCTGAGACTCCTCCTCTTCTATTTCATGCTCTTTTTGTCTGAAATCCCACCTAACCTCTACCTGTCCAGCTGCTGGCCAGTCAACTTCTTTATGAACACAATCACAGTGACATATATTCACACAGTATAAAAGAATATTTTACAAATCTATTTATATTTTCTATTTATTGGAATTTCTCTTTGGTAGTTCTAGGGAAACAGTACTCATGGTTGAGTGTGATGTGTCTCTGCACTCTGGCAAATATTCTCAACATGAAAAGAGTTAGTGTTCCCAACTTTAGCTATGCAGTATCTGTAAGCAGGAAGTTTCCTTGTGGTGATAGAAGCTCAAAGTATGATTTTGGTGGCTCTCTTCCTAGAGCAAAATAAATATGTGTGGTTGAAGATGACTACACAGAGCAAGGAATAGTTAAGAAATTACATCATGTATGTTATACTGAACAGAAGACGTATTTTAGGCTCTTAACCTATAAAATGAGACAATTATGTTAAGTACTTCAGGCTACTGGGTGCAAGGCTAAGGTATGTGAAACTATTTCTTTCTTCCTTGTCAATGAATTTGTTTCCGAGTTTCAGTAGATTTGGTTGCTTGGTCACTTGAGCAGTGTGTCTTCGCTGGTCATGTCATTGTAAGTACCTTTCAGAAAACAATGTAGTGGCGCTAGAGGTCGCTCAGCAGCTAGGAGCGCTCATCACTCTTGCAAGGACTCCCGTTCCAGGGTCTCTCACACCGTCTTCGTCTTTGCGGTACACATACATATGTTTGAGTGGAACACTTGTATACATAAAATAAAAATAAATAAACCTCAAAAATAAATCTATTAACTTAGAATGAAGAAACAAACTAACAATGAATTTTGTAATGTGCTGAGTCCACCCCCACACTTACTCACAAATAAATTTAACTCTGAACTGGATTGCAAAGCCAACATGACTGAACACATTGTGATTTTTTTCCAGGGTGCTTTCTATTAAGAACTACTGTTCCCATACCAGAGTCATCATTGAGCTCCTCCAGTCCCACAACAAGGTATCGTGGCAGTTGAGTGCATTTGGTTTTCTTATCTTTAGGTCTCCTCGTGGATCTACACACACACATACACACACACACACACACACACACACATACACACACACAAATCAGCACTAGATGAAATTTGGAGTCTTTTTAAAGCAGTAGCTCACTTAGGGACACAAACTAGGGGCACAATTAATGAGTTCAGCCATTTGACCTGAACCATTTTTACAACTTCAGCTTTTTTGTTTGTTTGTTTGTTTATTTGGAAAGTAGCAGCAGTGGAGGTAGCCAACACTTTCAAAGGCAGACTGTGTTCTGTCATTGACCTTGAAAATACCTCTGTTCTCAAGAGTGAAGAGGCAACTATATAAGGAAAACATGCACCCAGAAGAGGGTTCTGGTGGTGTCAGTGTTCTTAATGCCTTCATTGTTCATTTCCCATAAACAGGTTTTCCTGTCAAAAATCCCCACCTGGAACTGGAGTACTGGTGACAATATCATCTGCTTTGCAGAGCTAAAGCTTGGATTTATAGCCCAAGGCTGCTTGGTGCCAGGCCTGTGCACCTTTTTGACCACTCTGTTTATTGAGCAGAACCAAAAGGTAACTCTATAAAGTGGTGCTCTTACTCCATGTCCCACACAGCAGGATCTGAAGTAGGGGGAAAATCAATAAATGCAAGAAGTCTTCAAGAAATGGGATGTGCCTCTTGGGCAGGGAAGTATCGAAAGATTTGTCTTCGAATTTCGTTTCCCTGGTCTTGAAGAAGTCATTGTTAAAGGATTTGCAACATTGATCTGCAAAACAGGAAGTAACTCTGCTTCCTACCTACATCTCAGGATGCTGTAAATGTAAAGGTTTTTATAAATTCAGAAGTACTTTGAGTTATTGAGGGTAGAAATATAGACACCTTTAGTTTTAACAGAGAAGTAATATTTAAATGTAAATAAAATATAAAATTAGTATAGCAATTATTATATTAACCAAATATAAATGTTATGAATAATAACTAAAATCTAATTAATTTGTTGATTACTTTAGGGCAGATCCACTCAGTAACAGAAATAGTGGTCATAAATCGACTAGTGGTGCCATGCTGCCTCTCAGTGGTGTTTCCAGGACGTACCCAGCAGGGGTGGAAAAGCTAAGGAACCAGGTTGTATATATAGTAAGCTGGTGAACCAGGAGCCAGAGCCATCTGGGTCACAGTCTTCATGTCTCTGATGTTGGGTGTCTACCCACCACTTCTCAGCTTAGACCGCAGGTCTTTCATGGGGGACAGATTTCATTCTCATTCTACATTTGCTACTGCATATGCTGGCCTTCCTCTTGGCCTCTCTTTGGACCCCGTTTGCTTCATTTACATCCTTTCTTCCGCGGTCTTAGTAAGGAAAGGCAAGAGTAGAGGAAGGTGCTTGGGTTGACAGCGCTAACTCCAGCAGAAACACGACTCTCCAGTAAGTCTTTCTGAGGGAAAGATGATACAATATAGAGATAAACAGATGTGAGCATCAGGTAGTAGGGAATGAGCCTGAATCTGACCAGGATCTTACAGTCACCTTATGGTGACTGTGTGTGGCCTTGTTGACTTGTGACTTCAGACTTTGCAGAGAAAGCGACAGATTTTGTGTCTTCTTTGACTGTTGTGACTTTAGCACCTGTGACTGGGAAACATAAATGAAGTGAAAATCCTATATGAAGACTATTACCAACCCTGCCCGTGTATTTCTCTGCTATTTGACATGGACTTGTTACTCTCCATTAAACATGACCCCATGTCCATGGGCACCACAAAGTGACTTTGAGAACATATTTGTGGTCTCCATATTTTTTTTAAAAAACTGAAGTCTGAAATTCTCACAGAATCAGGGCAGGGCTTGTCATTCCTGTATGGGCTGCATTTGTTTTATAACAGATTTTGGCTCACGCACTTGTATAATGGCCAGTGTGCAGAGCTGTATGCCTCTAATTAGGTGCTGGTTTTCCCTGACCCTGTTTCCCTTCTGTAAAATGAAAGTCATTAATCTCACAACCAAATTTCTCCAAGCTTTGCATGAATATGTATAAAACACCTGCATACTCATAATAGTGGTGTTATGATTTATGGCACGAATGCCCTGGCAGGTTACCTGGCTAGTGGGACTGCAGCATACCTGGGACAGACAGATATGCCTTGCAGACAGTACTTGGGTATGGAGACTTTATTTAGTGGTTATTAGACGAGTATAAAGGTAGGGAGGGTTTGGAGAGGAAGAGAGAGAAAGAGAGAGAAATAGAGTGACAGAGAAGGGGAGAAGAGGAGAGAGAAGAAGGAAAAGGGGGAGAGAGATAGAAAGCTGTCTCTTAGGAGGGGGGGGGAGAGCCAAGACCGGCTTGCCTCAGCTGGGAAGGGGTAGTTTGGGATTGGGTGGAACTTGTCTCTTAAAGGGACAGGCTACCCAGGTGGCAAGGCAGGCCAGCATAATTATAACAAGAGGGTCTCAAATCAGTGCCACTTGTTTTAATTATATTATTTGTATTATGAGACATTGTAGTTGGAAGAACATTTCCTGCTTCCTTTAGGCCCACAGGATTACCTTATACTTCAATTTTGATTAAATTTACTCCAGCTGGATTGTGTAAATCCTCAGATTGTTCCTCTAAATGCGTTTTGTTCTCTTGCTGTCTTTTCTGAGCTTTAAGGAGCTCATCTCTATCAACATGTGTATCCTTTCAAAACCTGAATAATTCAGGCTAGAAACACTTGGTCAGTTTCTTTAGTAGTTGATGTAATGGTTTAGATAAAACAGGGCAGGTCCCTGAGGGGCGGCAGCGGTCCATGAGGGGTAGCCTTAACCCACTACCCAAGGCCTCTGTGGGTCCCAGGTTGGTAGGAGGTGGCAGATGAGAGACCTCATGGGGCAGCTGGTCCCATGAGGAGCCACGGTGGGTGAAAGACGGGCAGAGAAAGTGGGTATAGTTTACTCAGTGGGTTATGAAAGGAAGGGGAAGAGAGAGAGAGGAAGGGAGGGAAGGGGAGGAGAGGAGATAGGGCAGAGAGAGCCCAGGCTGGAAGCAGAAGAAAGATCCACTTACCTTGGGCTGGGGTGGGGGGTGGGCAAAGCTTGTCTCTTAAAGGGACAGGACAGACCATTATATGCAGTCATCAATGGCTGCATGCCCTCCTTGTAACAGGTGCTATCTGAGAGACTGAGAATGAACAAGAGATTCATTTGGTCTCACTATGGAGGAAAGGATTAGGAAAGGGTGCCAAATGATCAGAAATAGGTGGCCATTTTAGCAGGGCAATTTTCAAACCATGAAATGGTTTGAGGAGAAATGTCTGAGGTCACAGTTTATCTCCATATCAAGAGTTGCTCTAGAGAATCTATAAATTTCCGTCTTCATCTATGTTTCTGGCTTATGTCCTACTCTGTGGAGGTGGTACTGTAGGGTTCACAGGCAGCAGGTGAGGAAATGAGAAGCTGCCTTATACAAAATCACAAGAGAAGTTTCCAGCGACCTCCCCTAGGTGACATTCAGACTTGTTAAGCCTGCTCGTTCTAGAGCTAGGAGTGTAGCTTAGGGCCAGGGTGGTGCATGTGCAAGGTCCTGGGTTCCACGGCAGCACCAGAGAAAGGCCATCTTTCGCCCCTCATTTCTCTAGAGACCTACTGCTAGTCTTGGGTTTTGCATTAGTATCAATCCTGATCAATATCATCTTGGATTTCTACGACCCTGTAAAGGGTTCTCATCCTTAGGAGAAGCCACCAATATTCTTTTCATTGTGGATGTGATTTTTCAGCCAGAAGTAAGATAAAGTCAATCCTAAGCCTTCGTATCCAGAGAATGACAACTTAGATTCCACATAGTCCCCTCCCGTCTCACTGTTCGTGTCTCACGCAACAGTAAGGCTGCTGTGCTGCTGTGCCAAAGTTAGCGGTAGGCCAGAGAAAATGATTCTAATTCTGACCGGGAAACTTGGGTGCTGTTAACTTAAAAACATAGCTCTTACTTCAAAGTGAATAAACTAGTTTATTCTGGAGCCAAATTTGAATGACTAGGGCCTGGGAACACACATTTAAGTCACCCTGAGTCCCATGTTTCTATATGGAAGTGATTTTATGGAGTTTTCATAGTAATCGAACAAGGAAAGTCATAAATCATGACATTTAAACACACACACACACACACACACACACACACACACACACACACACATTGGGAGCTGGAGAGATGGCTCAGAGGTTAAGAGCACTGATTGCTCTTCCAGAGGTCTTGAGTTCAATTCCCAGGAACCACATGGTGACTCACAGCCATCTATAATGGGATCTGATGCCCTCTTCTGGCCTGCAGGATATATGCAGACAGAATACTCATACCTAAAAAAGAAAGAAAGAAACAAATAAAATTTTAAAAAGAGAACCCATAAAAACAAAACAAAAAACCAAATCAAAAACCAAAACCAAAAAAACCACATCAGTAGATACATCTGAACGGCAGCTACAGCCAGGCAGAGAAATCTCAGCTACAGGCCTCTGCTACTATCTGATTGCATTCTGAGTCCTTTGATTGGTGAAGAATAGGGCTTTATTAAGTTAATGCATTCCAAAGGTTCTTATTTATTTATCTATCAGGAAGTTAGGTCAGAGAGAGGTAGATAAGGCAAGGCTCTTTAGGAGGAGTGTGAGAACTTGTAATTAGGCTCTGGAGCTACAGTCTTCCGAACTCTCCACAGGCGCTGAAGCTTTAATTAGTCAGCCAGTCTTTGCAGACAGACACAGCTTCTTTCCAGGAACGCTCCTTCACAATGCCTTCTGGGAAGAAGCTGGGTGGTGAGGTGTGCACATCATCTTGGACTCCACTGAAAACATGAGTTCGGCTCCTCCTTTAACATTGCTCCACATGAACGCTAGGCTGTATCTCCTGTCTTTGAGATACATGCAGTGGAAACTGATTTGGCACTTAGCAGTCCATGCAACCCATGTTATAGGGTCAGTTTTCCTTATTAACGTACTGTACATGTTAATGTATGTATATCCATGTATCTATACATAACTCTGTATATGGTATGATTGATTGTATTTTCTAGGTTTTCCCTAAACATCCCTGGCAAAAATATTTCTTGAACAGCTTGAAGAACAAAATCCTAACACAGCGCCTCTCTAACGACTTTGTCGGGATGACGTTTCCCGCGGTTTCCCGGTATGTTAAGTGATGCCTCGTTCCCCGTTCTTCCGTGCAGTGTGCTCAGCGTACACTGCCGATGGAGGGCTCGCTGTAGGCAGGCTCCGGCACTAACTCTTGAGATGTTCGAGCAGTTAGTTCAGAGCCCCTAGATCAGTGGTTCTCAACCTTCCCAACACTGTGACTCTTTAGTCCAGTTCTTGTTGTGGTGAACCAAAAGCATAAAATTGTTTCTGTTGCTACTTCATAGCTGTGACTAGCTATTGCTGTGAATTATAATGTAAATAACTGATATGTGGGATATTTGCTATTCAGCCCCCCAAAGGGGTCCTGACCCACAGGGTGAGTACCACCACTCTGGCACTTTACAGTTTCACCTTCGACTCAGCTGGCACTCTTGCTAAATTTTATGTCAGGTGGATTAAATTTCAAGTGGAATCTATATTTAGGGGCTGCTTTCTCTGTTGAGTAGTTGGTTTTCTTCCCAGCGTGGAGCAGAAAGGGTTGGTTATGTTCATGTAGATCAGCCTCTTGCTTGTCTCCCTCCTCAAAAGTCCTTTGTTTTCCTTCGTAGGCTTTGCTTTGTGAAGATGCATCTCATGCTGATAGCCATCCAGTACAGGCCCCAATTTCACAATTGTTGGTACTGATAAAGCTTTTCATTTTTTCAAGTTTTTTTTTTTTTGCTTTTTGTTGTTGAGGGGAGTTTGACTGTTGTTAATAGATGAAGGAGAGAGGGGATATTTCAGACCATTGGGATTTCTCAAGCGCTTGTAAGTCATGAATTTGTAACTGGATATTATAACATTGATATCTATCTATCTATATCTATCTATCTATCTATCTATCTATCTATCTATCTATCTATCTATTTAAACTGGATGTTGTAACCTAAGCACCTGAGAGGTTGAGGCAGGAGGATCACTGATGGTTTGAGGCCAGACTGAGATGCATAGCAAGATCCCAACTCAAAGAAAGAAAGAAAGAAAGAAAATCAAAACAAAAGATAAAAGACAAAATCAGTTTTTAAGCTCTTACAAATACAATCAGGTATATTATTGTTATTATTACAAATACAATC